GGTCCGTCCGTGCCGCGCCACTGCCGTGGGTGACATGATCCGAAACGGGCACGGGTTGGCGGGCGGCGCCGAGCAGCCGGGCCCGGGGAGCAGGCCCGCCGTGCGGGTGTGGTGTGACGGCTGGTGAGCGCGGCGGCGGGCGTTGTCGGGCGGGGCCGCGGGGGCCGCTGCGCTGCCGCCCGAGGCGCGTCTTGAGCCGCTTTCGCCCGGGGGCCTTCGCCCGGGGCCTCGGTCGGCCTTCTCCGGCGGGGGAGGGCGGCAGGCGGCGGACTCGGGCTGCGGGCTCCCGGAGGGAGGACGCCTGGGGCCCGGGCCGCCCCCGCTCGGCAGCGGGGCGAGAGGGTCCACGACGCAGGCGGGCGCTGGCCCAGCCCGGGGACTGGGCTTCGGAGAAGCGTCCTTCCCCGCGATTAGCGGGAGCTGCACCCCGATCCCGGCCGCCGGCCCAGCTCCGGACCGCGGTGGCGCCACTCGCGTGCGTCCGATTGGACGGGTTTCACCGGGGCCGCCCGCCCTGGGGTCTGTGTCAGGCTCCCCGCCGTGCTCGGCCCAGGACCAGACCGGTTCTCCCGGGGGTCTGGGCAGCGTCAGCGGGGGAACAGCGTGGCCCCGGGACCCCCGTGCCGCCCGGGGGTGCCCACCCGCCCGCCGGCGAGCCAGACAGCAGAGTTGGGTGATGTTTGGGGCTGTCAGTTGGTAACTCGCCGCCTTTGCTGATGGAAGCAGAGGGGGAAACACACCCTCGGGGGCGGGGCCTCTGCCCCTGCCCCTGCATCTCCGTGGGGAGAGGGAGTGTGGCTGCGTGTCTGTGGACTCTGACCTTGGGCCTGGCCGGGCCAGGTGCTGGCCCCAGCAGGTCACAGCCACAGGGCTGCAGTGACAGGACCCAGCCTGGACCCAGGGCCACCTGCACTCGGTGCACCCCCGGCCCAGCCTGTCCAGTGGGCACAGGGGTCGCGGGCCCCAGGGCCCTGGACTTGGACTTCCCTCTTCCCTGTGACCCCGGGCCGGTGTGGGGAGGCGGAGCTGACAGGTGGCACTGAGTGGAAGCAGGGACAGCTTCTCCTATTCGGAGGCCACGGAGGCTGGAAGGAGTAGGAGGAGCTTGAGGGCCCCGCTCGGCAGTGTGGTCTCCCCAGCACAGGGGCAGGTGGGACCCAGCCGGACAGCGGCTGCTGTCTGTGGCCGTCAGCTGAGTTCACTCAGAACCGGGCCCAGATCTGAGGCTAAAAGCTCTGGGACCAGGTGACAGGGAGGTGGTGGTTGGCCTCCCCGAGGTCCTGGGAGCTCGCAGGGTTCCCAGAGCCAGCAGTTGGCCTTGTTCATTGGTTAGACCCGTGGTCGGCAAACTGCGGCTCGCAAGCCACATGCGGCTCTTTGGCCCCTTGAGTGTGGCTCTTCCTAAGCCTTAGGAGCACCCTCATTAAGTTAATAACAATGTACCTACCTATGTAGTTTAAGTTTAAAAAATTTGGCTCTCCAAAGAAATTTCAATCGTTGTACTGTTGATATTTGGCTCTGTTGACCGATGAGTTTGCCGACCACTGGGTTAGACTTTGCTTCCTGTTGGCCCCAGAGACTGGCCCCCTGTCTCAGGGTGGTAGTGAGCTCAGCTCCCCTCTCGTGCTGCAGCATAAAGAGACCACCCATGGTGCTGTGAGTTTAGGAGGGGGCCCCGGGGGCCGCAGGCCCAGGGTGGGGCAGGGGCTGTGCGGTGTGCTCTCAGTCCTCGGGACCCGCAGGCCCAGGTGGGGGCAGGGGCTGTGCGGTATGCTCTCAGTCCTCAGGACCCGCAGGCCATAGCCCTGCTGAGTCTGGCCCTGGACTCCGGGACCGGGCCGTGAAGAGCTGAGCACCCTCCCCTCCAAAAGCCCAGACTCGCCGGACCCTGGGAGCAGTTCCCAGTGGCGGCTTCTCAGAGGAGCCAGCCTGTGCCCCTCGCCGCCCCCGGGCCACCCGGGACTGACCGCCCGGCTCTCTCCACAGCTACGACATGGTACACTATGGCCACTCGAACCAGCTGCGCCAGGCACGGGCCATGGGGGACTACCTCATCGTGGGCGTGCACACCGACGGTAAGTGGGGCTGCGCCCACCACCCCATGCCCGCCTGGGGTTGCCCACTCGCCAGGGGGCCCCCACCATCCCCTGGGATTCTGGAGGGGGAGGGGCCCCCTGCGTGGTGGTGGCCCAAGGAGGACGGTGGTGGCCACTCGGGTGTGGAGGGCGCTTCGGTGTGGACGTGACCGCCGTGGTCACCACCTGCCTCCTCTCCTCTCTCGCCCAGAGGAGATCTCCAAGCACAAGGGGCCCCCAGTGTTCACGCAGGAGGAGAGGTACAAGATGGTGCAGGCCATCAAGTGGGTGGACGAGGTGGTGCCGGCGGCCCCCTACGTCACCACGCTGGAGACGCTGGACAAGTACAGCTGCGACTTCTGTGTCCACGGCAGTGAGTGGGCGGGCAGGGCAGGCAGGGTGGGGGCGGGGGGGTGGTCACAGGAAATGCTGGGGCTCCTTAAGCTCGGGGCAGCCTGAGCCCTCGGGGTCCCCCCCCCAGAAATGAGCCCAGGCCACAGGGCAGGCCGGGGCAGGCTGTGAGCCTGAAGGTCTTGGCGTTGGGCTGACCGTCCTGCTCCATGTGCCTGTCACCTCTCAGATGACATCACCCTGACTGTCGACGGCCGGGACACCTACGAGGAAGTGAAGCAGGCGGGGAGGTACAGGTGAGCCGACCATGCCCCCTTTCCAGGGCAGGCGGGTGTGTGCGGCTACGGCCTGTGTTGCTCTCGGTCGTGCCGGGATGGGGTGCTGCACCCCTCATGCCCAGAGCCTCAAGGAGACGCTGTCTGTGCACAGCACCCCCAGGAGGCAGGTGACCCGAGAGCTCCGACCCCACCTCTGTTGTCACCTCTGTCCCCAGAGAGTGCAAGCGCACCCAGGGCGTGTCCACCACGGACCTCGTGGGCCGCATGCTGCTGATGACCAAGGCCCATCACAGCAGCCAGGTGAGGCTGGGGGTGGGGGCGCGGAACCTCCGAGGTCCCCTCACCCAGGACGTGGCTGGAGGGGAGGAGCTCCAGGCTGCGGTCAGTGTCCTGGGCGTGGCCACACCTGGAGGGGGAGGCCCAACCCTCACCCTTCCTTGCAGGAGATGTCCTCGGAGTACCGGGCGTACGCAGACAGCTTCGGCAAGGTGAGTGCTGCCGGAGCCTCGCCTGCCCCCAGCTCCCTGCCTCCGGGCGCTGACCAGGGACTGACCAGCACTGCCTGGAGGAGGAGCAAGGATGGCCCACGGACAGGCGGCCTCTAACCAGGCAACCTGGCCCTCTCTCCCCTTCTAGCCCCCTCACCTGACACCTGCCAGGGAGATGCTTTTCTCAGAAGGTTCCTCCCAGGTGACCAGCGGTGGCCTCAGGGTGCGGGGTCCATGGCCTCCCTCCTAGACCTAGGTGGTGGCGGCTGCAAAGCTCTCTGTGGCCATGGGGCCCCTGCCCCGTGTAGCCTGGATGTGTACTGGGCACTGTGGCCAGCCCTCCGTGTCCCTGCCTGAGACACCTGCCGGGAACAGCACCTGAGCCAGTGAGCAGCTGGCAGGCTGGGCTGGGGTTTAGTCCTGACCTGTGGCTCCCACCCCTGCTGCCTCCATCCCACACCCATGCCTCCCAAGCAGGCGTGTGCAGCAACCCCAGACTCAGCGGAGGGGACAGGCGAGGGGACAGGCCAGGGACCCGTCTGCGAGGCCTCTATGGCTGACCAGGGACTCCTCTCGGCTTATAGTGCCCGGGGGGGCGGAACCCCTGGACCGGGGTGTCCCAGTTTCTGCAGACGTCCCGGAAGATCATCCAGTTTGCCTCTGGGAAGGAGCCGCAGCCAGGGGACACGATCATCTATGTGGCGGGTGCCTTTGACCTCTTCCGTATCCTCTGGCCTGGGCAGGGGCTCTGCATGCCCACACCTGCCCCAGGGAGGCCTCACTGATCCCGCGGCCCTGGGGGGTGGCTTGGGCACTGAGGGAGGTGGGAGGGCGGCTGCCCCTGTCCTACTTGTTCCTGAACCCGGCACAGACATTGGGCACGTGGACTTCCTGGCGAAGGTGCATGGCCTGGTGGAGAGGCCCTACGTCATCGCCGGCCTGCACTTTGACCAGGTCTCTGCCCCGGGGAGCTGGTCTGGGGGACCCTGGAGGTGGGCTCGGGAGCCATGGGGAGCGAGGCCCCGGCTGCTGACGGAGGCAGAGACGAGCTGAGCTGGGGCCTCTTCCTGGGCAGGGTTGTCCTCTCGGCCTTCCCCTCGCCAGTGGGTGCCCCCCAGGGTCGCTGGCAGGGTGCCTGCTGACCACCCCCACTCTGCCCGTAGGAGGTCAACCACTACAAGGGCAAGAACTACCCCATCATGAACCTGCACGAGCGGACCCTGAGCGTGCTGGCATGTCGGGTAAGCGCCGGCCAGCAGGGCGGGCCTGACAGCTGGGGGTGGCCCGGCAGGGACCCCGGACAGCCAGCCCGCCATGCTGTGTCCCTGCGTCCCCAGCGGCCGCCTCGGCCAGCGCGTGGGGCC